TCGCAGAAATGAATGGTCTCTGAACGCTCTTTGGCACGCCCGCCTACATGGATACGTTACGCGGTACGGTGTGGTGTGGCATCAAATGGCTGGTTTACGGCAGAATACATACGTCAGGGCTGTGGTGTGGTAGGAGCTCCTACTTTTACGATTTAACTGACTCGATGGTAAGGTATTTTGCAAATGCTTCATGTCAGCGACGCTTGTTCGTTCAATGTTTTGCTCTTTGGGTGTATAACGCCTACCCTAAGATATGCGTATCATCCGCGGCAGGTTCCAGCACACCGAGTCGCTAGTACCGTGCGTGGTGACCAGTCGTACCCACAACCCGTGGCACCGGTCACCCAGCAAGAACGACCTAACCGTGTCGCTAGCGAACCCACTGCGCGCCCTAACGCCGGGTCAGGTGAGCGATAACAACACGAGGAGGCGAGGCCGGCGTGTTGCACATGTAAGAGCGACCCACGTTCCAAATTGCGTGGCGATTACTGCTCAAACCTAACAAAAAAGGAGTTGTACCCGTGATCCATGTGAGTTGTAAGTTCTTATCTGCGTGCGTTTCTGTATCTCCGTGTTCATGTGTCCATACGTCCGTGTCCGAATATATTCTGTCTGTCCCGAATATCTGTGTGTCTGAATATCCTTGTCTGTATGTCCGTTACCACATGTCCGTGTCCTTGCCTCGTATCCTGTGTCCTTCTACGTATGCCGCGGGACCCAGCACCAGTCGGTCGCGTGATCCATCATTGATCTGCCGAACCCATTGTCGGTAACGGTAGCGCCCCGCTGGCCCCCACCATTACAGCTCGCCGCCCGCTTTCTGCACCGCCTGTCTCCGCCTGTCCTGGCCTCCCCGTCATTGCTTATCCCCGTTCACGTTGGACAGGGGTTCGGTGAGAGATGCTTCGTGTGACGAAACAGTAAACACACGTCTACTTTTGATGTGGCGACTATGAAATTAGTAGATTGAAAATCGTTTGTGATTTTCGAAACGATATGCTAGCCTGTTTTTTTTTTTTTTGCTGACCATATTTCGCAGCTAATAAGTCAAACGAAATAAAATCATTATTTCGTGAAATAAACTAAAATAAAGTGAAATTAGGATGGGACCATCACTGATATTGCACGCAAACCAGCTGACGTTTTACAAATGAGTCCCTTCGCTGCTGCGTCTCTGGTGCCCTGACCAGGTGTCCATCCCCTTCTTTTCCCAGTTCGCCGTGTTTTACCGGGGCGACGAGTGCCTGGGCTCGGCCCGGATCCTCCGGCCGGGGCCGTCCCAGTTCGACCTGGACGTGGACAGCTGCCGCACCAAACGACGCGAGAGCTGACAAACTGGTGAGCTAGCCGCTGATCTGTAGCGAATGTCTGTGGATGGTGCGTGGACCGGTGAGCTCTATCGGCTACCTGGGACGGGGGGCTAAGATCGTGAGTGGTGACCTGGTCAGGTGCGCAAGATTGACAAGCTGAACACCAGGAGCGGTGTGATCAGTGTTGGCCCTCAAAAGTCGGATGCCTTGAAATATCGCGTCCATACATATATGGATGACATTGAATATATGTAGGTAGTCACGAGGTACCGCTCGTCAGTCAAAACCGCTAGGCCGCTGAGTCATGAAGATAATATCTGTTTCTCAAACTGATCATGCTGCGGTTTTGTGGAGCGGGTCACTTGTATTTAGACTACTTAGCATTATCTGTCTGATGTCGTTTTGGATTGTTGGACTCAATGGAGCTTAGGCATGAGACGGTAGCCGTATAGTTATGCACAGCTTGTTTCAGAGCTTGTTAGCTGGAATCTACGTTGTTAGCTGACGTTCGGTTTGTTGTGCTCGCGTTCTTGTGACGTGACGGGTTCTATGTTGTTGGTCGTAGGTGTTCGCCGTACCGGCGTAATGGCAGCCAGCCCATCGGCTGGGTGGGGCTGAGTTCTGTGGGGAGGGGTTATAATCACGCCCTTCCTAGAGTATGGCGTGTATCGTGTGCAATAGTGCTCGAGAAGGGAGGAGTTGGCGTCACAGCAGTGAGTACCGCCAGTGTAACTCAGGCTCGACCAAACGCGAATTGGTCGCTCGCGTTCGATATTTGCTGGAGTTTCGCGAACCCAATGTCGAACACAGGCCAAACCCAGCACTGGTGGCCCGACTGGCTTACCCAGCACAGTCCGCCTGGCTGGCCTTACCCGGCACTGTCTGCCCGCTGGCCCCACCCTCCCACCCGCCGTGGCCTGTGACCGTGATCGCAGTATTGACCTGCTCGCCGGCTCAGGGCAGTCGTGGTCATTGCCATGGCACCGAGGCACCGGTTATGTTCCCCCCCCCGCCCCCCCCCCCCGCCACCGACCGGCCCACAGCGCGGCGGGTAATGGCTGGGCACGCTGGAAGCACTCGAGGCTCCATAGAGTGCCTGGGGTGGTATGGGGTTAATTAGAAGCTGAATGGTACTGGGGTTTCATCAGGAGCTGCGGGTTTAAAGGAAGCTGCCATCGGATTTCGATAGAGCTCTAGCCTGTGGAAGATACATGTTGTCATCGATTTTTAATGTTATCTATTTCGCGGATTGTTTTGTGTTACTGTTGTGTAGTTTGTCAGCACAGGAATGAAATGTTGTGGCTATGTAACTAGGCTGTTGGTGCTAGATGAGATGTTTTAAATACAGAATGTTGACTACATCGGCGACTTAATGATAAGAGCGATGGAAATATTTGATTGATGAAGTTTACTTTTCCTCAGATTCCCAAAAGGATACGGAGAGTGTTTGTCGATGTACCGTGCTTCTTTTTGTTCAATTCCTGATATAAGAAAATCGTGTTACCAATTCTTTTTTGATGTTGGCGTCGAACTCCATTCATTGATTAATCCATGCATTGATGGATTTAGAGAAATTAGCATCGTACTAAGCTACCAATAAAAGCAGCGGATTACTTGGCCACACTGTCTCAGCGACAAAGCTTTCTGGAACCTGGAGTGATTAATCCACTAAATCTGCTCGGCTCTCTTCATTCAACGTTTGAGTTCATTCAGCCCGCTAGATCGCCTCGACTTTCTGTTGCTTAGGCTGACAGACTCAGGATACGCTAGCGAAAAGGCGGAGGACCTCTTGGATGAAGGAGTTTTTTTCGCATCTAATCTACTTCCAGTTTTCTTAGGTCTGTGATGCAGACTCCCCCACCTGCACCTTTTTCATTATTTACTTTTGATAAATTGTTTAAGTTTTTTTGTTTGATTTCCCCTCCCAAAAAAGCAATAATAATCGCAGTGCGTAGCACCTAAATTCTAAAGGCCCTGCCCAGCGCATCCTTTACCTACAGCTTGAGCTGCGCCCTGTCTCCGACGACCCACCCCGAGCGCCGGCCGTGGTCCGGCGCTGGTCCGGCCGGCCGGTTATTTATTCAGCGCCGCTGTGTTGGTTCTGTAGCAGACCGGCCGGCCACCGTTTACTGGCCGGTCGATGCAGGTATATAGGTACCGGCGACGGCGACTGGGCGATAGCCGTGCTGTGCACACTCCGGCAGGCGCCAGTGAAAAACATGGCGGGCCTTAGAAAGGTTGTTGAACAACTCCGGACGTAAACAAAAGAAAATGATAATTATTATAAGTGAAATGGGGAAGCCATTACTCACGTAGCTCGTACTACCGATTAACTTATGTACTATCGACTGGTAAACTGTATGTAATGCACTCGAACCGTTTAATATTATTGTACTGAAAAGTGGGATGCATCGTACAAGTGCGACTTATATGCTTCCTCTCTAATTACCTCTTCTAACGCATGTTTGCTGATACATCCATACGCCAGATCAGTCATCAAACAGATAGCAATTTAACTGAACCCCGTTGTCGATGCTTGGACTTTGATCGACGCCACTGCACTGCACCGTGCACTCCCATAATGTTCCAGACACGTCAACACTGACCTCGATTACCTGTGTGCTGACTTCGCTGTACGTCGGACCGTCGGGAATCAAGTATTGATTCCGGATCGCGCTCGGAAGTGGAACGGTTAGCCGGCTGTCGATCCATGTACGCATCACTAGACGCTGCGATAGATGCAGGGCTGGAACCCGGGTCCAAAAGCCAGAGCCAGCTTTGTCAAGTCTAAATGCATTATCTACTGGCGTATGCGTGCTTAGGAAAAATGATTGCATTATTGAATTAGTTACTATTTGACAACAGTCAACACTTGAGCTATTAACATCGCTACAAACAAACTTGAGTTCAGAAACGCATTTGCTCGTCAACGCACGTCGCAAGCACGTACTCAGTAGGGCACACGTGCCATTCCGTGCACGTAAACACACATATTTTGCTGGCACCGACTTCTAATTGTAGCATGCTGAATGCTGATGGCTCAATGACAACGATCCAATTCACAGAATAGGCTGTTGTTGCCTGGAATGCGGGAGTTTCGCTGAAATAAATGCCCTAAATTCCAACTGAATGACGCAGTCGCGCCGACTAACAGGGAATTCCTAATCGATCGTATAGTTGGGCCACTGCCGCTCTAAATATTGCACGCACCGTTAGGAGGCGAAGTTTTGCTTTCATTGGTGCTGAACTGTAAAAGAATCGTCGGCTGATGGTTGCTTGTAAGGACGCGGCCCAACTGCACCGATGCGTCGAATTGGCGTGGCACCGCCATAGTTACCGTTTAGTTGTTACTGGCCAAAGGTAGCTAACAAGTTTTGTCAACAAGGTATCCAAGTACCTTTTCTACCCAAAAGTATCCATTGCAAAGATACAGCAACATCATGATTATATTCAAAATAGAATCAAATGGTTTGGTCTTTCACCATCGACCATCGCTTCCCTAGTTCAAACTTTTTTTTTTCTGTGGCCGCGTCACGTCTCTGAGCTTCTAGCTTACCTCCCATACAGGTAAAAAAAAGACTGTTCCCCGGCTGCCCACAGTCGACTGGGATGCTTCCTTCCTGTGAATGGAATATCGACGCATCATATATATTTACAATAGTTGTTGCGGAAGTAACTGATGACGTCGTATTTATATACAGTTGTATTCACTCTAATATGTAACACCATTTCCTCCGGTAACAGCAAACCACCGATCACATACGAAGCTCCCGGCTCCCACGGACGGATCTAAATCACATTTGGACGGCATTTGGAGACCGACTGACTCAGTGAGTTGACCAGCAAAATCGCTCTTGTCTCTGCGGACACTTCCCACTCGACAGACTGCCTGCACGAATCACGGACTAGACTGTCAGCTCGACATACAGGCTGGGCTGTCTGCTCGAGATTGGGTTCGACTTTCGGCGTGAGATGCACGGGTCGGCCTCACGAACCTCAACATAAGCTACCTTCCATCCGTTCCACACACGCCGACCTCTGAGCCCGTTGAAAGTTGAACGCGCCAGCTGCCGTCGCCCAGCTAATAGCTGTAATCACCCTCGCCATGGGAATCACCGACATTCGATCTTGTCGGGTTTGACGTCTTTCTCAGCAGTGTTGTACTGAGCTCCATGATTCCGATCTGGCCCGTCTTACCGCGAATTTCTCTCTGAGCCCAACTTAGGAGCCCCAGTGCTCGATTGGGTCTGAAGCACCCCGACAGATGCTGGGGTGACGAGCTATCTCCTGCATTTCGTACTTTCCCTGTGCTTTCTCATGAGCAGACTATATATGAAAGGATGAGATCGGCGCTCGACCCGATCGACTATAGCGGGATCAGCTTGTCGAAGTCTCGCTCGATGCTCGCCAGGATCTGCTGGTCTTGATGGTCGTATTCTGGCACCGCCATATTGCCTCCCCGAGCCCTGAAAGCAAACATAAACGGCAGTCAATAGCAACATGTTGAGGATTAGCACCTCGGGTGTGGATGGCTGTTATTGCTTTCTTATAGGCATATTATCTCGCAAATGTCTGTGAATGCCTCGACGTGCACTGGTTCTCGTGGACTGCACTGGATTACAGGCAACATGAGTCTACAACATAGGCTGCATAATAGAAATATGCAGAGCCAGAATATGATGGATTTGCAGAGTATCATATTGAGGTATCACATTGCAGAGTAGTTGCGAGCACCGCACTTCAGATTCGCCAAGATATTTACACCTCGGTTTTTGATAACTTCATGCAACACACGGGAGTAGACACCACTACAAGCTAGCGAGATAATGGCTGGTTTTCACACTCTGTGAACATCTGAGTGACACTATAATTGTGCACCTGGCACGTGCAGGGCACTGGCCGGTGGTGGCAACATGAACAACATCCGCTGCAATTTCACCGGTGAATTACGCGATGGAAGTCAAAGAAACGAAAGGCGTCAGCAATCGTATAGAGCGTGCTGTTAGCGGATCGTGTCGTAGCTTACTATTTATAAATGTGGGCTCGTGCATCTGCGCAGCGTGAAAACGAGCTAGAACGAATGATGCGAAGTGCTCTTATAATTTAAAGGGACCCTCCCACCTTAACATTAGATTTGAGTTGAGATAGCCAAAATGGGGTCCCTGGCTCACAATTACCGGTTTCGGCACTCACAACATCGAGAAATGCCCTAAATCGGAAATTTTGAATTTCAAAATTGCAGCATTTTGATTCAGAGGGGCTAATGCTTATGAATACCCCTCTGAATGTGTGACGTCAGCGCAAATATCTAACGATTTTTAAATGTTTGACTAAAACGTTTTGTAGCACGCGGTGATAATGATATTTGCGCGCAACATCTGCCGCAAACGCTGCACTTCTAAAATAAAGTCGCTAGAAACAGCGGAGATCCCAAAAAAGTAAACAAAAGTAAAAGTCTAATATCTTGAAAACCGGTGAATATTTTTCGGTGAAATTTGGTAGATATTCGTTTTCGCTCTTTCTGAACCGAGCGACATCACTTTCATGCCAATTCATAAACTTTTTTGAAGGTGGGAGGGTCCCTTTAACTGAATTGATACAATGTAAAACAGATGGGTGTTCTTCACGAAGCTTTACGATGCCATAAGTTCGTCTTTTAGAAATGTGACTACCCATTGACTCACCCAAAGTCCCTGGGTAGTCCAATGCTATCATCGAAGCCCGCGCCCTGAAACAGAACGACGGCATGTCAGGATAGCGGAAACGCAACGGTACGTCGACTTCGTGACTCGGACTCAGAGACCTCGGAATAGAGGGGTGGGGTAAGGTGGGGGTGGGGGGGGGGTAATAATACAATGACTGTCACGGGGCTGTAGGAATTGCAGCATTCGAAATCGTTAGCTTGACTCCGACACCACCGAATCAATGCTCAGTGATCTGGTGACGGGAGTACTGAGAAGTAGGCATGTGACAGCTGAGAGGATAAATGTTCTGTCGTCGGAGAAATAACCGTCAGAGGAGCATCGGGGTCAGCTGGGGATATACCATCGGCTGGATCCCCTGCGGGGCTCTGCCGGATTGATTTGATGATAAGTCCGCAGAACTTAATTCTGCTTATATGGAGGGAGACGAAATGCCAACAATGTATACTAGATGGGATCGCGATAGCTCGGCTTGGGACTGTCGACATTAGGTAAACAGACTGTGCAACCCCGAGGCAAACCTATAATGACAGCATATTTTCGAGTAAGATATTCAGATAGTTCCATGTTAAAGCATATAACTCTAATTCTTTTATTTTTAAGCGTTTGCTGAAAAGCCTGCTTCTTTGAGAGGTACAAATATTGCTGTGGAAATAAAAGACACTGAATCCCAAAATGCTTTGATGGCCGATAATTTTTTTTCCTGAAAATAATCGGTCGTTGACCCCACTTGCTTGCGAGTCCCTTCATCCATAAAGCTGACAATGTGCCAATAAGGATGCAAGCAATGTAGCCATGTAACAACAAGGATACTGCCTTTCGCTATCCCCCTTCTGAGCAGTGGGGTGTTGGCCATTCATTGGTCGACTCGGCAAACGGACACGTCGCCGATCAATGCGAGACAAGAGACTCTTGGCACTTGGCAGCAGCCGGCATCCGGGTAGCGTTGCTGCCCTAATACCCACGAATAACCCGCTGCCCATGGTGGAGGGCTGACTGGGCACTGGGCACTGGGCAGGGAGGTCAGGGTCGCTCAGCGTCAGCTAGGGCGGAAAATGTTATGGCCTCTCTAATCGAGGTGATACTGATGCTTGGCAGCTCGTGAGGTAGAACGTTCCTTCCATTCTCTTATACAGTCTGGTGCATTTTGACTATGCATTCTGACAGAAGAGTCAGTGATGTCAAGACATATTTTGTTAAGTGCTGGGCGCTGGCCATTGCAAACGAAGCGTATTTTTTATGCAAATTTTTATAAGACGGTGAATTTGCGTAAACTACGTTGCCTTTTTACGCTTCTTCCACCTCAGCATGCAGCACTTGTGCTTTATGAAACATTAATGGGGTTAGGAGTACCTACGTTCTTTATGATATTCCCATGAGAAGTAGTTCCGGGGCCACTACATTATACAAACAATGTACAGCCCCAGCGGCGGCCGTCGGATGGCATACCAACCAGCTGAGATCGAAAGTGGTCCGTTTACCCGTACCGGGCCCGGCGCGATCGGTAGTGAAAGACGCGGCACGGGCAGGGAGGCGAGATACCACTGAGTGCCCCGATGACGCAACAGGTGCTGGGTGCAGGGGCGTCGGCCGACGGCGGCACCCGGCCTTTCTCCGGCGTCATAGGACGAGAGGTAGCCGGGGCAGAGTGATGGGGAGGGGCAGGAGCCAGGAAGGCAGGTATTTAGAACCGCCAGAGGCGTTCCGACCGGTCCGAGCAAAAGTTACGTGGCGTTACGAAACAGCGAGTTTATTTATATACCTACTCGTCTGATGGGGATCTTAACGCGGAAGACTACATAGTGACATAATACAGGGCGAGAAAGCTAGGTAGATCGGGAGTTAAATGAATTGACGGTATCTTACAGCGATTCGATTTAGAAAAAAGAGAAAACGGAGACAAGGAAAATGCACTTCCTTGAAAGTGAAAATGTGCTGATGTTTAACTAGTTTCACAACACAGCTTGAAGGTAGAAATAGGTACCTAATGGTTATGTAAGACAATGACAAACGTCACTTTGCCGAAACTCCAAAGTGTTCTAGCAGCGCATAGGTATCAATAGTCGACCATCTTAATGTCGTGGTACCTGTACGTTCTCGAAAGCCTAACACCATCCATCCACATGCATCAATCATCAATGTCAGGGTATCACTGGTTCGGAAAGGTCGCGACCTAGCAAAGACCAGCAACAATGGAGCACGGACGTCGGTGACGTCATTAAGTCACGTGACTATCGAACGTTGGCCACCCGCGGGCCAGCATACGTAGTATCATGTCGTATACATAAGGGCCAACGGCTAACGACACGGCAGGTACTGGACATGTAATTTCGAAGAAGTGCACGACGCTCTTTGATGTATTTTGGTGGCGGTAGCACACCAGACAGCCAAGCACAACAGCACACGTCACAGTAGTCCGCAGTAGAACCCAGACGATCTGTGCAGATCTCCAGGGTTGTGAGATCTGTGACGGCGACAGTCGCGACACTGCCCGGTCTCACTTTTCACACCTACCTATTGTGTATCGCCAACAGTGCGGAACGCCAGCGTGATCTCTGATAGCAGTCGGTTTGATTGAGAATAGGTGATTCGGCTTTCGGAAATGCAGAAGGAAAGGGAACTGAAGTTCTATCAAAAGCACATCGAGCGCAGCACATGGTGAACGATGCATATTTTCTGCACATATTCGGCGTAAAGTGAATTCATAGGATATCATCTAGAAAACAAATACTTGCTCATGACTATAACCTTAGACCACAGAAGTACCCATCCTACATATAACACCACACACTCACCTTATTGGCCTTTTTGAACTTTTCCGGATCGAATCCGTCTAGTGACACCTGAAACAAACAAAGGCAATATTAGACTGGATTCGGAACTATAACTTTCGTGTCCGATGCGCTATCGTCCCCAGCTGGCGCCGAAAGAGGGGTCTACCGCCACAAAATAGATGGTCGGGTGCTCACTTCTTTACATAGGTAGGTTGGTAGGTACTATGCCATATAGATAATGATGCAAGGCGTATTCTAGTTAATTGGCAAACTCCAGTCGACCCTTGTTAGGCTGGAAGTGGCAAGAGGATGTAAGCCTTCTACCGGAATTCGGAAATCTACCAAACCACCGGACTGATTTTCACGATGCAAATGCCATTTCCTAACTCTTTATTTTCAAACTAATTTTATTTTTATTTAACGTTGTGCTACCGGCGGTGGCCAGTGCCACCGCTGTCCCAGCCCGTTATACCCTCGCGCGCCCACCTTCTGGTATTGCCAGTTTTCCTGCTGGCTGGCCGAGCGCTGCTCCCAGCTGAACGGCTGCGATCGGCGCTTCTCTCGGCTGGCGCGCGAGCCGCCGGATCGCGAGCACGTGCTGCCGGAGCTCTGCTGCAGCGACTGCTGGGTGTCCAGCTGCTGCTGCAGCTGACAGCTGGTCTGGCTGCTCTGCAGGCTGCTGGGACTACTGAAGCTGGAGCCGTCGCCGCCCAGTTGTCGGCCCACGATCCCCAGGGAGGTAAACGTGGCGTCCAGCTCGTCCAGCTGGCTGCTGAGGTCGGCGGCCGAGGCGGCCCGGGTGTCCAGACCGACTCCTCCGCCGCCGGCGCTGGTGCCAGGCGCGTCGCGGCTGCCGTTCGCTGCCGCGCTGCGACGACTCGAACTCGCTGCGCCGCGTTTGGACACCGCTGCTGACGCCGCCTTGGCAGCGGGGTTTCGCCGAGGCGGTGACCGCTTCTGCTTTGGTGGCGGCGTGTCCAGACCAAACGAGGTCTCTGTCGGCTCATCACTACTGCTCTTGGACTCGTCAAATGTGTGCACCGTCCGCTGGCCGGGCTCGCCAGGTTTCGTTGACCCGGCGCCCATTTCCGACTGTCTCTCGTGCTCTGTCTCTGACTACGCTCACTGTCTGGGAGGAGTTCAACAGCTGCTGTTGTGTGAGCTGACCGTGTCACTCGCTCACAGTGTCAGGGACACCGCCGGCCCGCTGACCGTGGCGTCTTACGGAGCGATATGTCACACTGAGTGGCGAAATCGCCGACAGCCAGATACACTGCGAGACCTCGGGCCTTATCACGCACCTGCTCACGCTATATCGTCAGTCTGGGCTGCCTACCATGTATCACCTACGCACTGAGCCTTCTTACAGTCCTGACTGCTCGCCCCAGGGGTCCTCAGCCCATACTGATGGCTTCTCACTACTTCTAGTCCCGATCACACACAGAATACGGACACCAGAGAAAGTTTAGGCACCGTAGTCTACGTAATTCACACGACTTCACGTTCTTCTCAGCACGTCTCGCTGGATAACACGTCTCTCTCGGCCCTCAACAGCACGTCTCTCCAAACGTCACGTCCTTCTCGACACGTCTCTCAGCTCAACACGTCTCTCAGCTCAACACGTCTCTCAGAACGTCACGTCTCTCTCAACACGTCTCTCAGCTCACCACGTCTCTCTGAACCGCCACCCGCACGTTCCAGTCTGCCGCACGACCCAGCACGGTTGTGGCTCGCCTCCGACCTGTGCTGCCGGTGCACAGCGTCGGTGCCCGTGACGCGCACAGGTGGAGATCGATGGCCTCGACGTCGGCGCCGTCGCCTTAGTGCCGGTAACGACGGACCGACGCTGACCGTCGCCGGCCTCCTCCACCCGCCGAGGGGTCGGGTCATCGACCTTGGGGGCAGGGGACGTGTAACGGAGAGGGGTGCAACGGTGTTTTTGTGTGGGAGATAATTTTTACTTAGGAGCTAATTTTTTTAAGCTTTGATTAGCGATAAATAAAGGAGCGTATTATTAAATACTAATGAAATAAGAACCGCCTGCAAAATTACAATTTTCTTCATCAAAATTGTTTTTGGCATGAACGGTTTGTTAATGTAACGTACGTATTTAAAGACTGACGAATCACAATTAGCATCTGGTGCACATTCGACAAACTTTACAGCCGCTTTTATGGAGTTGTTAGCTCTAATATTTGAAGTTTCGAAACGTTATCCAGGTTAATGGTAGGTTAGGTGTGCATCATTCAGTTTAAGTGGGTTCGGAACCGAACTTAATATACGTGAACTTAATGTCGTTGCTTGAAGTTTCCAAATTTATCGTAACCAATCATGACAGCCAATAAAGCCATTGAATAGCAAGAGGCATTTAAGAGCGTCACGCTAAGTTTCTGAGGCCGGTCAACTTCATCGATGACCTAGTCAATATTAAACTATATAGTAAACTTAATAATATCGTGTCTGCTTATTCGACAAACGTCGATGGCTTGCATTCGTATTTCAGTATTTTTTCTTTTTGTGGGTGATAAAAAGCCAATGTGATGCTCGTACCGTGGGAGAATAAAGGTGCGAATATTTTTTGTTTTAATGATTTCATGGTGTCGTTGATTATTTTTCTTGTTACTCTAAACAATGAGTATGCACCGTATGCACCACTTATGTAGGTGTTAACTTTTGTACCATAGATAGCCCTTTGTTTATTTATTTATTTTTTGACACACTTGCCATGGAATGATATGGGTATCAAGGGTGTGGCGATCACTTTGTGCTATTAATTACTAGCGCAGCTGCCATATGGTGTTTATTGGATAGCCTGGGGCTATACCGTTTTCACTGAAACTTTGACGAGAGAGTCAACAATCATTTGTTGGTCAGCCGAGCGGCGACAAACGCGCGGCGCCACTCTCCGACTCCTGGCCAGATATCCATCACCCGGGAGACAATGGCGCACGGCCACCGAGCGTGGCTGCCATCGCGGCGAGCCCGCGACAAATCAGACGCACTTGGTTTCACCGCGCGGCGGCGGCTGACCCTCTTCGGCCTCTATTTTCCGGATTGCACAGAACGCGGGGACAGTCGGACCGTGGCGATAAAAACACGAAACGGTTCTGTGAACTGCCTCGGAACAGAAAACTCAGACGACGAAGACTTTTACCGGACGAGTTGGCTGCAAAACTGCGACAGTGCGTGCCGACCCAGACAGCCGAAATGGCATCGGCCCCGGCACCGTTGGACTCGCCATTGTCTTGGTGGGTGATATTCTGCAGTGGATGCTGCCAATTATCGCACAGTAGGACACTTCAAGACCCAAATGCCGAGGCCATGCCACCGGGGTCTAAAATGCCGACATGACCTCTTTCTCGTTTAGCAAACAGTCCGCACGTGTAACAGCGGCTGCTTTGCTTTATCGCCATCCCAAAGTGCCGTATCCGGATGTTTTCTGCAAAGTGCGTCCGCTTGAGACGTGAATACCGGACTGAGAGTCTCGAGAGGCTATCCCACTAGCGGGATGGCCTTCAACCACCTATCCAAACAGCACCGGTGACCTCGGCCCAGAAATTGGCACTTCACTGGTCGTCCGGCGAGGGAGAGCTCCCGTCCAACCGGCGTAAAATTGTTGTCCTATTAAATCCCCGCTTCTAGAACAATGTTCCAACTTATCTCTTACGCTTGTGTTCTAACTGATGTAGCGGCAAGAGAAGGTGACGCTGGATTTTCTGCGGCGGCTGTTTCGTTGACCTCTGCCTGGGGTGCCCGGCGAGCGGCGTCCGCGTCCATCACTCTCGATTCGACCACGACTTCATGGTCGGCCTCCCCATACCAAACGCGGGCTCGTTACTAACATAAGTGGCCCATTACACCGAGCGGTCACCGGCGGCGACCGGCCCGACAACCCCTGGGTCACTGGAGTTCATCCTGTGCGTGCTGGGCACTCTCAACGCATCTCAAAACATGAAAAACTCGCCCTTCATTGCAGCGTTTAAAGGTAGTGTGCCACCTTTGAAAGATTTCCCATTTTATTTTTCCTAGGATAAGAAGCTTCTGTTTTTACCTAATATCGCAAAAAAAAATCAAAAATGGGCCTGGAATAGTGCCTTTTTCGCCTAAAAGTTTTTCGGTTTTTAGATATGTATAACAACTGTAGTGGGCTCACCTGCAAACAGGCGTCGGGCAACAATCGCGAATGCGGCGCACTTGTGACAATAAGCAAAGGTCATTATAGTGTTACGACCATACGACGTACGGGAATGAGTTATCAGCTGTTTAATCGTAGACAACACAATGTCGAGCCTTAAACTGTAAGCCCGTATTGTATTGTTTCTTTTATTTGGCTGTCGAACATTATTTATGGTTTGAAATATGATTTTATGTAAAATGATTGATATGAAAAAGCCGTCTTATAAGTTATGACCCCATTTCACCACACGCAGGTGGCAGAAATGACAATGATCAGCTGACGCATTTTTCTTGGCCGAAGTCAGAGCGCGCGGCCCGACGCACCACGCGTATTTGGAAATTCCGACCTCGACGAGCATCAGAAGCCACCTAACAGGCGTGTTCGAAACCGCAGGAGATGATGATGAACGGGTTTATCGAAACTTGATTGGATGAGCATATCGGTAATAGCGATTTCAGTGTGTGCATTTATTGTTCATAGTGGTGTGAAATGTGGTTGGGGTACGACCGACAACCCGTCGGGGCGAATTTCGCACTGGGGTACTCAAAATTTGAAGAATTTAAGACGTTTCCATGAGTTTTGAAGGTATGGATAAGTTCTAAAAATCCGGTTCTCCTTATCTGGGCCATTAACTCCATACGGTCCAAGAAAGCTGGCACACTACCTTTAAGGATCACAGCATACTAACCTAACCAAACTTCCAAGACAACTGTGAGGCTGATGACAGCTCATATTTGCCCGACATCTTCAGGGAAGTGTGATTCACCGGCACACCGTATGGAATCAGTGATCCACACCACAGCACCCGTGTTTTACCGGAGCCGCGACCCGCGCACCGACCGCACGCTGACCGCCGAGGACGTGACGCGTGACGTCACGGACCGTGAACGTGACGTGACGGTCTCGATGGCTCGGTGACGCTGCTCGGTCGGCGCGGCGGTCGCCCGGGGGCACCCGAGGTCGGGAGGTGGGCGGTCTTGGGTTCGCGATACTGCACTTGCAGCCTGGCAGGAGTGAAGACTAGAGACATCGAGTCGCCCCCGCTTGATCGGAGTTGGGAGAGTCTACAGAGCGTGTGTTGGAGTTGTGACTGAGGTTCATCCCCGTTCATCCCTCAGTTCATCTCTGACAGTAATCACTGCTCAGACAGATGCACAGCAAGAGGTAATGCACAATGTAGATGCGTTCTTACACGCGTTGTACACTGTAGACGCGTTGTATCTCCGATCGTCTGCTTTTGGTCACCGACGCCGACATTAGACGCATCACATGTCGAGACAATAGTCGATGAAGGACGGAAACACGAACCGACAGGCTAACTAGAGGCTCATCTCTAGCACAAATACGATTATTGATTTTGGCTCAGCACCGAACGCCGACATACATAGGCAGGCAGCGGCGTTTGTTACTTGACCAATGTTATGAAACTAATATAATTTGACGTGAGTGCCTTGGCTCTGATTGTATAATTTTGAATTGATTTATAAACCATGCTAAAAGTAAAAGCTTCGTCATAAAAATTCCTACTATTTTCGCTTACTATCGGAAATAAGCATGACTGAATTAATTCTACCACGGTATGAATGTTAAAATATATGAATAACATTAACTTCGAAAGCGATTATCTTTCGTCGATAATTTACATGTTACGCCACCCCTATCTAATGGAATTTCAGCCACGCAGTGTCGGACAACTGTTCGCCTCACAGACGGAAGTAAGACATGCTCACTCGGCAGCCGGCGCGGCCGATCACCGGCGTGTTTTCTCCGTCGACCATGGACGGTCTCTCCGCGGAATGTACGATCCACCGTCTGACAGATGTCGTCCGGAGGCAATGGGCCCGCCGGAGCTGGATTCATCGTCAGCGGCCCGGCAGAAGCAGCGAAAGTTAGCCAGCCAGACGCCACCCCGGCGGCCGGCGGCGAGGGGCCGCCGCTCCGAATAGTTTTCACTCGCCAGGACTGAGGTCCTTGGGCAATGGGTGCGCGCTGGACCGGGTACATGAGGTCCTGGTCGTTCGGACGGCCCCGGGGCGGGCAGGGTGCACCTCTCCGCACCCTGCGTCGCCGCGGGGGCATACTTTCTGCGGCCGCAGACCAGTCGCGGTCGGTAATGAGAGTGCCACAAAAACTCCGGGTCGGTGCGCGAGGTAAGCACGACTAATTTCTGATAATGAATAGTCCCTTCTAGACCGGGGATGGTTGGGGCTCGGTAATCGGGTTGTTTCTGACCGTGGAGGGCACCCGAGCTCATTCGTTGGCCGGTCGGCATGATGTATTGTCTGTGACGCATGAAGCAATTGACGGCATTTATTCGAGAGCAAAAACGACTTTCAAGAACCGTGACTAATCGCAGATCAGACACGAGTATTCAAAGTGATCGAGCACCTGTTTTATATGGGGTAGATTACGCTCTTGAGGTACTTTACTGCAAGAGAATGTGACACGATTTTATATGAATGTCCTAAGGCCTCTCACGTGATTGTAATAAATATATATCCATTAGGATAAATATTCCACGCCTTGATGCTGAGTGCCATTTCTAAAAGGATCACCGATCCCCAACTCAGTCATACTTATCAATTACATACCAAATATAACCTTACCAAATATAACATGTGCGAAGATGATAAGAAGTTGTATCCGCTTGTGCTAAAAATAAAATACTACGGACAAATGTAAGCGAGTCGTTCAATGTGCTATGCATAGGTACCCGCTTAGTGCTTAGACAAGGACTTATGCTATGCAATCGCCGATCGTTTTAGGAGTTCGCTGACCGACTCTTCCCGGGAAGAGTAGCGACGCAATAGCAAGGTCTGCACAATGAGCTGCATAATTATCCAACACTCAATCCACTCAATAATTTTCACCCTAAACGGGCACCAAATTACACTTATTGAGCACATCTGTCATTCGCAACTTTCGTTGTAGAGCGGCTAGCTTCAATGAAATAAGAGCTTGTAATGAAAATGTGGAAGTGCACTGTTCAGTGTTCATAGTCGTATCATCACAAGGCACCCTGTCGCTTCCTTGCATGCTCCAAAGTCCAAATACTGAGTTATCAATGAGCTGCTCGTTCATCATACCCCACATTTGTTTATCTACGAGGCATCGTCTCGACTTGCCCTCTTTCTTTCTTTCTTTGCGAGCTCGTGCTCATCACATGTCGCCTGGTAGACAGCTGGGAGCATTCTCCTTGTCTGTCGTAGCTTCCTGAGACTTTCCAAGCATACCCAAACAGACGAGTACCGATTCCGGCCGCGGGCTAAACAGACTGATGAGGCAATACGGCGGCAGGTGTTGGGTGCGGAGCGTCGCTTCCCTTTGCCGACCGCCGAGCCGCCGCGGGCAGACGGCTCGGTGCGCGGTCACAATGGGAGCTGACGAGTTACGCGCTCTCTTGTGTGGACGCCCACCGCAGAGTGACGCTCCTGGGCGTGAAACACTGCGCCGTAAACACTCGGGATGGACAATGGCGAGCTGGTTGCTGAGCGGCCTGTCACCAAACCACTGGACTTGCTGCGGGTATGTGGTAATTTCACTGCAAAGCCCAACCATCAGATGATACAAGAGTCAACCAATTAGTTGCACGTGTTCATGATTGCCTGTTTAGTATTCCATCCATGTCGCCGACCGCTGCCGACCTCACTCTAAACATCTGTCAACGCTCCAGGCATCTCCTAACCACTCCAACAATCGGAAGTCTCCTCCGCCTCTGCTAATGTTTAGAGCGGCTGGCGTGCGCCTCGATTAGCGCCTGTTTAATGAGGGATCCGGGGGAGGGCGACGCTCGTCAGCGGGCGCGCGGAGCCCGCGGCGGCGGCGGCGACGCGTGCGGACGCCCTCGCGCTGTTTCCTTTCACTGCGCTCACGGCGTCTTTGGCGCACTTGCGGCGGCCGACGGAGGAAAGTGAGGCGCCGCGCCGCCGCCGCAGTCGGCTCGCGGACAGCGACGGATGCGGCGCGGATGCGGCAGCGCGCAGCGCATGGCAATGTGCACGTGAGGTCGACACGAGTGGCTACGGACACGGGGACTGGAGTGCGGTACTGGGAGAGCGAGTTGGACAAACGAGGAGTGTGCTAACAGAGTGGACATGTAGGGGAGAGGCAAGAGCTGATACGAGTCGAAGAAACTCATAAGTGCTGGACAGAAATAAGTGAGACACTGGAGATCACGAGGTGACAGCTAGTGAAGCGAAGGCAAGGAAAGGATCTACATAAAACAGAATCTTACGGACTCAAGGTAAGTCGAATCTCTGGTCCATGTGGGATGCCCTTGTGGTGAAGGATGCCGATATAGTGATATTCCTATGGCTAATTGAGTAGCTGATTTGCAAGCGATGTCAAACTGACTGACACACCAACGCATGACGTTTTAACTGTTTCTCACTGAAAACAATTTGGACACCGCATCTCCCTCCACCCATGAAAATGCGACGACCCAACGAGCTGCATGCAGTTGGTAACCGCAGGTTGTTTGAAATAGACAAACACTATTCGTTAGAATTGTTTTTTTTTCCTGTGTGAAGCTGATTGTAATCATGACATCTGCAATGATTCAGTTATTCGCAACTAAATGCTGGTTCTCCATTCCAAGCTTAAGCAAAAAAAAAAAACTTTGTCCAATTTATTTATCCAATTTATTCATTGCAGAAGTTAACAAGCTTTGAGCGATCATTTGCAAGCATTCCTGCTGTCAGCACATTGGCTTAACAAATGTTTTCAGTGACAAAGCCCTCAGGAAAGCTGCACTACAGATGGTCTACTTTTCCAATGTCGCAAAACTTGGTTCCATTCATGCATAGTTATTCAGAACAATGAGATTGTGGCTACAGATTCGTGGTCGCGCACGACACAAGCGAGGGCTTCCTCACAATGGTCGGTGCATTATCAGTCGCACTGATGGCCCAGAAGCAGCCCCAGAAAGATTTGGTGAGGATAAAGGGCGTTGCAAATAACAGCGCCAGTTTGCAATCTGCTTGATTTGCGCGCATTTTTTATTACCGGAGAGGGGCGACGGTTTGCTGCAGAGGGAGGGAGGCCTCACAGGGGCTGGCGGCAGATTCTCACGTGCCTGTTCCCACATGGGCAGTGTAGTTTTCTTTGGAGCATTCACCCTGCCGCCGGCGCTACTGCTACCAAGGTGGCATAAAACACACGGATTTTCACAGCTTACACCACTGTTATTGGCACAACGATGCCATTCCTCCCATCGGTAATTCAGGAGTGCACATTTAATTACACAATCAGGGCATATTAGGTAATTATGGCGAAGCGGATGTTTGTCACGGAATATTACAACAAAAAGTGTGTCGTAATATGCAGCAACAAAGTCATGAAAAGTGACAGTGATGAAGCCTGCTAACTGCTAAGTGTAGGACTAATAATACCTATAGATGAACAACGCATAAGGCACAGTGGGTGCAACTTTATTCTGCATGGTACTGATTTATAGGCTCTTCTGTTGCCACCTAGATAAGTAAGTTAAGAAAAGCAACACGCTTTTAAATATTGTTTGCCTACCATGGAATTGCTTTCAAATATAGTGACTGTGCTGACAATCTGACAAATCTGACAAAAAAAAAAAAACAGCGAATGAAGCATTAATGTAACATGCATTGCGTTGCGAGCCTATATCGTAAAAGCTCACCACAATTTCCGTTCTCACTGTACCTCCACTACGACTTGAACACGCTGCTAGGTAACTTTCTAATCTGAAGCACGTCCTGAGCGGGCTGTTTGCGTATTTCTCACCATTAGAACCCCTACCATACTCTTTCTGCCCGGGGCACACACACAGCGAAACGTCCCCGCGGCTGTAAGAGTGTAAGGTCTCTTACTACGACATCCTATTCGGTAACACATCGCCAGTGTTCTACATGAGCTGGGACTGATGCGTATCATGCGTGTCATATGGCCTTGGACACTTTTGCAGTGTCACTATTTGCTCGCTTGCTTATTCACTGGCTCGAAGAGGTGTGGTGGTGTAATTTATTCAGCTGCTTATGGAATTTGTGCAGCATTTTGCATTGAGTTCATTTAACTTAAATAGCTTTATGATGCAGTGAGATGTGCTTATATATTTTTACATTTTGGGTCCTTTGCGATTTGGATATAATCTAAGCACTTCGGTGTTTGAGTGTCTTTGGTATATCTGTCAAAACTAAATATCCCCCCGCTCTAGGCTCTAATGAAGTTTTCCTCGAGTTTGTGATCTCTTCCTTGTTGTCATTTCTCGTCGTGTTCTACCGGCGCCCCGTCGCGTTTCTCGATGTGTGACCTCGTCCTCAGCTGCGCACATGCCCCACAGTGCGACCCCGCACCCGCGCTGTACCAGCACCCCCGACGCGTGACCTCTGTCGACACAATCCCGGCGTGACCGTGACACGGGGTCAGCGTCCGGCCGTTCGTCTACACATCTGCGTACATCCGCCAGCACCGCGCCCGTTTGCATATTGAGGCGCGCCTCGACTATGGATGAGCGAGCCACTCCCGGCTGGCCAATCAGCGAAGAACGCTACCTGGAAGGCCGAGTCGACGGACGCTCCCTCGCAGACTCGATGTTCTTTCGATGGCTGGCAACCAATCACACAGGAACGGGTTTTAAAGCTCCCAGGAATTCACACAATAACTAGGCATGGGTTTCGCTTGATGTAGAGGTGTGCGCAGATTCATTCATCTACGTCAGGGTACGTCCGAGGTCACCCGCTCATCAGATTCCGTGCGTATAAATTTAGCGTCTGCCTCCCGCTGCTTGGAACCTGAGTGATGGTCTTATGAATTGCCAAAAGACAAAGTTGCGTAATTCTAGCAAAAAATCATCCGCCATCTCTGATATTCATCATAGCTGGACAGAATAAATGCGGGGGCGTGACAAATTTCTCATATTAAGCGTATTTGACGAGCTAATTTTTCTCATGCCTCCAAAATTGCATCGGATGTGACGCGCCATTGTTCTTCGTTTCTTTTTTGTCCATGAGCGTAGCGTTTCATTTTAACACGTTTTGGCACAATTTTTGCACGTGCGTTCATTCACTACTTCCGATTCTCAGCATCCGTCTCTCGCACAACAAGTACGCACTATTCCCTTCCCCCGCTGGACGCACGTTAGGGTGGCCGTGACGCTGAGCGCGGCACCCCCGGCACGCAGTGAGAGCAGGCCGGCCGGGGCGTCGCGGGTTCACGGTGGCTGCCCCGGTCGCGCGCTCTGGGTCGGGGCCCGCCACTAACAGCGATACACACACACACACACACAATGTTTATTATCAGAGACAGAAAGATTCCGGAAGAATGCAGCAGAGGGATGCAAAAGCGCAAAGCGCTTGAGTTTGAGCATCGCTCTGGAAGAAGAAAATACAAACAAACAGACAAAAACATACCAGATGAGATCCTGAACTTAAAATACAGAAAACATTTGATAGGCAAAACTCAAAGCATACGAGTTGGCTGTCGCCGCCACGACAGACACCGAGCAGTAAAGCAGTGTGCGCGAGCCACCGCACGGTCAGTCCGGAGCGCCACGTCCAACCGCAGCCTGACAACCTAGATCAAGGTGGTATCTTGGTGTTGAATTTAGTGTTCTGTAAACCGGTTTGATGATAAAATGAATTTTTGAAAGAGATGTGCGACCGCGCAGCCGCTCTCATCGTCCAGAGTTTCACCGTGAATAAGGAAGTCAAGTTTTTGCTTAGGAGAAATTTCATTTAGTTCAATACCTATTTGATAAGAAATAGTTTGAAACATTTCTAGCCTTAGTGGTTCGTAGAGTGGACAGTCAAGGATATAATGCCGAACGTTCTCGTTTAGAAAGCCACAAGCACACATTGATGTTTCACTTTTTTGAATTTGGAAGAGATGAGAGTTCAGGTGACTCATTCCGGTTCTTAGTCTTGTGTGTAAAATATTTCCCAATTTAGACCCAGTTTCATAAAATTTCGGAGGCTTGGTCTGCATACTGGCTGCACACCTGGCTGACTCTGTGCGGCTCGGTCGGCGGTGGTGTCTGCCACTGCGGTGATGACGGCAGCTCGGTATCATGCCACGAAAAGAACGGGAGTAGATTGGCGGCGCTGTCATCACAGCGCCTTGCGGTTGTGGTAGCGTCGTGTTACGTTCCCCCGACTGTCGTGACTCGGTAGCGAGTCATGACTCAGTTATGAGTCGAATGTGACTCAGCTGGTAGTGTCACGAGCTGGCTCTGAGCTGTCTGTGAATTGTCCTCAATTTCCTTAAGTCTCAGAGACTCAAACGCATTCATTAGAGGGATCATCACTCAATAAGAAGCTATGAACATAAAGGGATTTACTTAGGTACAGTGGATCTTATTAGGATCTCCAGACGTAACTAGATGGCGTTGAGCCTTAGTCGAGTCCATGTCAAATTCAAGGAGAGGTCACTACCGAGCTGGGCCCGATTGGGAGGTGGGCGGGGAGGGGGGGGGGACGGGTGGCGAGGTCACGGTGCGGGTGACCTGTCAAACAGCCCCGGCGCGGTGGGGCACTGCCGTAGGCAAATGGCGCACTCCAGCGTTGTTCCATATCGCGGTGGTGGGCCGGGCGGCCGGTTAGCTTGGCAGCTTGGAAGGAAAGGATAATGAGGCATGGTTTTGCTGTGTCCGGTTCACCCAAGGCTATGTAAACCAGGTAGAACGCTCCCGACGAAAAACTGGGGACAACAATGAATTTAGTAACCGCGACTCTCGGGACCAAACAAACTCAGGTTGCCATGGTAACGGGGCAAATTTGGCATGAGTACGCATCTAATAACTCATTTTTCAACGAATTGTTTTAGAAAAAAGCAAAAAGACTTGTCGGACCACTACTAGAATGAATTGCAGTTTTCATAACCGACCAGAGTTTTTATCAGACTGGCCTAAATAATATCAAAATCAAGTCCTAAACTTAGCGGCCCGTGCTGCTATAGGTTACCTCTAACGCTCTGGCCCCCAAAATCGTCACTGGCTTATCAGCCAATGAGCGTCGAGTATTGTCCTACGCTGATTGGTGGGATTACTGCAGTTGTTGTTTAGAATGCTTACGATGCTGACAGCGCTAGCGAAGGTGTCTCCACTTTTCGTAATGTTAAAAGCCCGGGGCGCACCCCCCCGGGTTCACCTATTGTTACTTATGATGCACCCAAAGTAATGCAAATGTGGCGTTGATAATACAGCTGGCAATGGAATGCTAGCGACTGCTCCGCCAGCGCCTAGCTATAAGGATTAAGATTATTTATGTCTCCTGAAAT